CTCTCTCTCTCTCTCTCTTTTGCTATACTATATGAATCCCCAAAACACGAGCCTTCAGCTGAAAGAAGAGGCTCTCGGGACTTCATAGAGCTCTTCTTCTGGAAACTCTTCTCTGAGCAGAATACTGAAGGGGCCTGAACGAATAGAACAGAGTTTTAAGGTGTAATTATCATACGAATTACGAAGTGTATACTACATGATATAGGAGCCCGAAGGAATTGGACATAATTGAGGCACCTTGATTACGTTTGCAATGCAGTCCGCCTCGGGATTCCTGAAGATGTCCTTGGGGCCTACGAAGCCGCGCATCGCCTGAGCGGCAAAGAGCCGAAACTGACACGATGCTGTTGGCCGCAACAGGAAGTACCAGTGGTCCGAGATCATCCTGTGGTATCCTTTCGGGTGCCAGGCACCCAAACGTGATCCCGATGCAGGCTTTACGGGTTGCAGTCTGCACACCGAAACTTTGTCGATAAAATTTCTTATGAAGAACAGGAAGCCCCGGGTCTTTGAGGCAAAACCACTACGCACCATGCCCAGAAACCCTACGGCAAAGGATTTGGGGGTTGGTGGCCTAGCCGTCACACAGTCGGTCTCAGACGGTGAATGATTGCAAAACAAGGCACTCGTCGCATTGAAAGCACTGCGGCCTCCGTGGAAATTGCGGCAGACGCTCCCTGATGTCATGGGCTTCGATCTCGGGTCTTAAAGTTGCGGAGGCAGGGTTGGGGGTTTAGGGTTTAATATGGGGGGGCCTAAATAATTCACTTTTAATTATATTCGGGAACCCCCAGAATAGCATAGTATAGGTAGCTACTTAAAGGCCCCTATATCAGGGGTTTAGTGTTTAGGGCTTATCAGGTCTAAACCATCAATCCACCCTGAGGTTTAATTCGGGCTTAAGGCACCTTTTAAACACTAAACCATTACAGGCTTCAGGCGTTTGTGGTCGAGGGCATTCTAGCGCTTACGGAACAGGCCAGATCTGAAATCCTTTTCTTACATACTGCAGGGGCCAGAATATTAGAGTATGCTGTTTGGGGTATGTTGTCATATACTTTCGTCTCAAGGAATAGTATTAGCCGGTGGAAATTTCAGGCTTCCATACTACAGTATTCAAGACCGGAGCCAAGCTTTGGAGAGCGGGAGGTTCCAGGGTTCGAGAGGTCGCGGCGTTGGTGTCTTATCTTTGGAGTCTCTACAGCAGAACTCAACTTAAACTCTACATAGCGAGATCCTTGATACAAGGACTTCGGCTAAAGGGACCACGAGCTGTACGAAGCCCCAGCGCTGCAGCTAGGTTCTTTGACACGGGTACACGAAGCCACCGGAATTTGGCCAAAGCTGCCTTTCTTAACCCTTTTTGCAACAGGCTTTCCACTTCGCCCTTTTCTTAACCCTTAACCCTGCCCGAGCTTGTGCAGGCAGACTTCTTGTGGAAACAGTGGGAAGCCAAGCCCCTGAAATCGACGCAAACCTGCAAAGCAGAGCATGAAACCTAAGCCGAGCATCCTACCACTACTTTACAGCGTTTAAGGACGTTAGGTCAGGTTTTGAAAATATAGAAGCTTGACGATATAGAAGCCTGGGAACCGTAGCTCCTCAAGCTCCCCTTCAACTCCGATCCCTGAAAGCCCCAAGCCGCCCCTAAACCCCTCTAACATCCTTATGAGTCGTTGTCACAAAAAAAAATTAACTTGAACTGGTGGTCTATAAAATGTACCCAAGCAGGCAAACTGTTCATCCATATTCAGCCTTAAACAGCGCCGAACTCCAGCTTGCTTACCAGCCCCTTTTAAGCAGTATCAAGACCCGGAAAGCTAGTGATTGTATTGATGTTGCGGCTATCTTCTCATGTTGAAAACTGCTAACATATCCGATTCATGCATGTGCCACCATTCTCGGTCTCGCGCCCAAACTGAGCACAAACTGACCAAACAGTGCAAGAGGCAAAGCTCTCCGAAGGCCGGCTACACATGAACAGTGTAATGACATGGTGCAACAACAGAGACTATGACATGCGAGTATCACGAAAAAGGGCATGAAACGAATGGCAGTCCCCTGAACCACAAAGCCCCCTCTTTGACTCTTCTTCCCGAAGGGTAGGCCTTGGAGTCAGAAAGCTGCTTTCCTGCTGGTTTTGAAGACGAGGCAAATGCTTCAGAGATTAGTGCCTCTATAGGGCCTAAGAGCATTAGCGAGTATACGACTATGGGGTCAAGGGCTTCAAGATTTGAGGTTGGAGCCTCATGAGTTGACGAGTCCGCGGTTTTCAACATTGGTTGACGAGGGTTTCTGCATGTGGCGGCCCGCACAGAAGCAGCGGTAGTCTTGCTAGTGTTGAAGGCTTTGTTGCGAGGATGACTGATGATGATCATACCACCAACTGCTGTTATAAAGTCATACACCTCATGATGCTGTTGCTTTACGTGCGCTACTGCCTGGTTTGCCCACGCAATTGATATCGGGGTGCTCTCAGCTCCTCTGAGCTGAGATTTTTCCAACGACCCTCAACTAAGCAATTCGACTTGAACATGTTATAGGTACTTATACAACTATGTATACAGAGCCTATGTATATATATATATATATACATACTACGTACATAGAGCGACGATCTGCAGTAGCTTACTGCCAATGGTATGTTTATGGGTCAAGGTATATTATGTTATCAAGAAGTCTTGTGCGGGGCGGCTTGGGTGGGCGTTCATCGGCGCGAACCTGCACGGATCGCGCGGAAAGGAATGTAGTGAGCCACGGCCATGCCGATCGCGCTCTCGATCCTGGGGGGTTTGTGGGCTCAGGATCAAGGCTTATACAACACTGAGACCAACGTAGGTTACTAAGTATCATGTGGGGTATCCGAGTCAAGTTTGGCGATTCTGTGGTCTGGGACCGAACTGCTCAGTGCAAAGATGCAGAGTAGGCTTGTGTATTTCAGGCGTGCGATCATAGAGGTAGTCAGACATACACATACACAGACACGCACATCAACATGCACACCTCCGCCGGCTGCGGTAATGATGAATGCCCGAACCAACCACCAACATCGTATAGCATGTCTTGGACATGTGCGCATATGCAGGCCTCTTCCTCCTTTGCCTGGCAGCATGACAGCTTCAGAAATGAAGGAGACACGCAAAAGATCCCAGACATCAGGAGCAAGATTTCTTGGAAGCACAAACATATCCCTAAATTGATGAAGCCACCATGTGAACTTCGCATTTAACAAAACCATTGTTTTGAACCAGGGAGCTCTTCCACAGAGGCGCCCAGCAGCGCACCGTAGACGGCAGCGGATGCAATGGCCCCTGGGAGCAACTTAGGCTTCGGTTTAGGCGCTCACGCTTTGACAGGCTTCGGCTTGCAGAGTCGGGTTTCGACTGTGACAACTCAGTTGGGTATATTGTCACTGCTTTTGATCGCCTTTTTTTTTTGTTTCCGCCTACAGTTGGGGGTTTCTGAGTTTGTGCCGGTTTCAGGTTTCAGGCCATTTCAGGGTGTCGGCAGTTACTCTTGGTTTTGGAGTTGGGGTTTGTCCCGACATTTGTACGGTTTCAGAAGGGTCGGAGAGATTGACGGAGACTCTTATCATGGGCTCTTCTGGCTGGACTTGCATCTGTCAAAGGTCCCAGAGGTGTGACCCGGAGCCGGATTTCCGGAAAAAAATGGCAAACTTGGAAAGCACGAAGCCCGAAAGAAGCTGGTTCGGAGCGACCCGGGAGTTGAAGGCATTCCGAGCAAAGGGCTCTCTAGAGTGTGCATACTTGAAGGGGTGTAGTTCTACATAGTCCTGACCCGGAACTCTGCGTTTGGGTGATTGTGCCATAGTTCTGAAGACCTTAAGACTAAAGACCAAGACGCGCACGGTTCATCGGCGTTTTCTAAACTAAACAGATTCCGAAGATCTTGGCCAATGTTTCTGGGCTGAGCGGCAGCCGCCTTTTTCGACTACAATCCTGTCGGACACAAGTTAAGCCTGAGGCTGTATGTTGTTTCAGCACTCACAACTGGGACAA